GCTGTGGAGAAGGGGCGCTGAGGCCAGGGGCGCGAAATGGCCGCCCGCCGCCCTCGGCCTCAGCGAGCCCCGCTTTCCGCAGACAAGAAGAATGTGGAGAGCCGCGGAAAGCACGTCCTGGAGGTGGGCGAGCAGAGCCTGGAGATCCTCATGGAGCCGGGGCAGGGGGCAGGGTCCCCCGAAGAGCAGCCGTCGGCTGAGGCCATGACCAGAAAGGTACCCAGAGGTGTCACAGCCTCGCTCACGGCCGCACACCTCCATGAGGCTGTGGGGCAGAGGTTGGCAGTGTTGCTTGCTACTGTGCTTCCATGTTTCATGCCAGGCAAACACCAGCAGTGTTATCCAAGCTGATGGAATGGGTTTCTGTGTGGGGTTTGGGCTCTGGGTGCCGCTCTCCAAGCCCGGCAGGTTTGGGGTGCTGGTGGGCACCCACACGGCTCCCCACGGGCCCAGGAGCCAGGTGAGCCCTGGTCCCTTTGACGCCGTGCAGAGCTCACGCACAGTTTCAGCAGGTTTCGTGCCCCCAGGCAGACCCAGTGCTCTCTGCTGGGCATTAGGTACCATCTCTGCTGCACACTGTCATCCGCCAGGCTGCTGGCCTGGGTGGTAGCACAACAGGCAGTGTCAGGCGCTTTGTGGCATCAGTCGTACAGAAAAGATCAACTGCACCTGAGAGCCAGTGGGGCGAGCCCGGCTACCTCATCCCCAGACGCTGGTATCGGGGCCAGGGGGTTTGCTCTGTTTGAGATGGATGTTGCTTTTGAGCTATGCGTATAGGTGTTCTTGAAAAATGTTGCATTTTGAACTAAGTGGCAAAATTCCTTGTTCTCTATTTTCCTGCAATGATTAACATTAACAAGTTTCAGTCCTCTTGCTGACATAAAATCAGATTACTTACGAATGTGTGCTGTCTGTATGCATGACACAAAACAGCACTGCATGCAAAAGCTTCCATCGTATCAACACACAATCTGGTCCTACTGAGACATATAACATATTTTTCTCACTCAAATACAAAAACAAGCTGAGAGTTTTGTGATGCTTTTGATACTTTTTTTTTTCTGTTCAGATATTCATTGAAGTATCTGTCACTTTGAATGCCAGTATGTTCACTGAGCAGCAAAGAGAGAAAATTACTATGCTATGTCCGAATTTAAGAAGAAAAAGAAGTCCTGGCTTTGAGACACTGACAGGAGACTATACAGATATTGAAAAAGTGTACCGCTACTGCAAGGATCTCCTTGCAGGCGATGATGAAAGCCACAGGTTTTCACATTCTGAAAGTAAGAGTGATATGGAAGTTGAGAATGGTGTGGATGCCGAAAAAATGCTTTGCGTTCCGTCAGCTCACTATGAGTACTTCAGTCATGCCTACAAAGAAGAAATGAGAGAGCTATGTGGACATTTTGGAGTGGACATAAAATGTAACAACAATGACAGTGGAAACACTCAGATATGCTTCACTTGTGATACAAACCCCACATTGATACAGTCAGCTAAAGAGGCTTTTACCACTATTTTTCAGAAAAGTATACAAGATCTCAATCAGAAAAAAATTCCCTTTGCAAACAATAAACAGTTAAAAGAAGCAGAAATGAAAATAAATGCTAGGTTTCCTAATCTTCTTGTCAAACAGGAGGGGAACGAATTGCTACTCCGTGGTCCGACAAGTAAGATTTTGGCTGCCAAAGAATTTCTAGGGGAGGAAAGTGAGAACAGCCAAACTGAAAAGAATATGCATGTATCATCTGAATTTTACAAATATAGAAATGGAATTGAAGTTGATGCTTCTGAATTTAAGCTGTTGGAACCAATATTAAGTAAAGAAATTGAAGACATCAGTCAAAATTTTGATACCATGGTGGATAACATTTCACTTGGCCAGAAAATGGTCATCAGATTTAGGCCTAGGTTTAATGGTTTTGATATGTCTGCACATGCTACTGAAAGTTTCATCAGTGCATTCCAGAATGCCTCTGCAAAGCGAAGAGAAAAAGGCATCAGCTGGAAGCTGTCAGAAGACGAGAAAAAAAGATATATGCTTGCTGATGGAAAACAGTTGGAAGATCTGCATGTAAAATTTAAGGAAGAAAAATTTGTTTCAGGAAGTTTACCAAACTATCTTCGTGCTGCTGAAAAGCACGATATGAATCTTGACACAGAAGAGACTGCACAAGCTAAAAACAGAGCAGCACTGGTTTCTTATCCCAGCCATCGAGAAGCTTCAAGAGTGTCTGAAATGAAATATGATAGGCAAAAGATTAAATTTTCTTCCAAAGAACAGGTTAAATCAAAGGCGGAAGATGAAGAACAGGGAAAAGATGTGTGTCCTGTTTGCATGGATAAAATTAACAATAAAGAAGTACTGACAAAGTGCAAACATGCATTTTGCAAAGGCTGCATCGAACAGGCAATGACGTACAAGAAAGCCTGTCCTGTTTGTCATACCTACTATGGACTCGAGCAAGGAGATCAACCAGAAGGAACAATGACGTTTAAAACGATTCACGAACAACTCCCTGGTTATCCCAAATGTAAAACTATTGAGATTACATACAACATGCATGGTGGTATTCAAACCGTAAGTATGTTTAAAGATTCATAAAAGATATTTTTCTCTTAAAACCAACATTTAGTGTAAAGTTCAGTACTTTCCATCCTTTTCATGTATGCACCAGAGAGATATTTCTTTGTTCTGTACAACTCTGCAAGAATTTAATCTAGCAATTTTGGTTTGGATTAGATAACACTGTAGGTAGTCAAATGGCAGCCCTCCATTTTCATCAGGATTGAGCTACTTCAATTTTTATATTGAGAATAACTGAACTGAAATTGCAGAATTTTGTATACATTATATCATTCTAAGTAATAATGAAACTTCTTTGGGGCATTTTCTTAGCTACTGACAACAATTGATAAAAATGAGTATTAGGCTGATTTGTAAGTGTTTTAGGTAAGAGATCTGTTCATGTTATATGTTTGGAGTTGCAACTAAGTGTTAAAAATTAGTGAATTAAGAAGTCAGAAGTGAAATGCATTTGAGAGAGTAAAGAAGAAAACATTGAAAAGTAACAATGGATGCGTGACAAAGATGTGAACAAAACATACATGATAGAAATGCTACAATGAGAAAGAAAATCAATCATGCTATGTCATTCAGAATGGAATGAACATAGGGATTTAAAATACTATGAGTGCTGAGATGTGTGATTTTTCACCCTTTTCACCCTTTTTAAGAATTCCTTTTATACAATGCATTTTCCTTTGTTTTTCTACAAAACAGAACAGACATCCAAACCCTGGGAAACGTTATCCTGGAACCATTCGAAAAGCATATTTACCTGACAATAAGGAAGGTCAAGAAATTCTGCATCTCCTTAGAAAAGCCTTTGACCAAAAATTGATTTTCACTGTGGGGCAGTCACGTACTACTGGTATGCCTGATGTTATCACATGGAATGATATTCACCATAAAACACAGATCCGTGGAGGGCCTATAAAGTAAGTAGCTTTATTTTAAGTAATTTTACTGCTATTCAGATGTGGCAGGGTGGCCATCCTTAGTATTTTCCACAACAGAGCTTTTGAATAGCAGAGCAAGTCCTTGGAAAGCCTCAATCATCTGCCCTGGTTTGTCAGTAGCAGAGGGATTGCGGAATGCTCTGTGAGTCCAGGTTTAATCCATCTCCACACCCTTCACCTGGCTCTGGCGTGGTGGGTACCCACCTCACCAGAACATTTCTGTTAGCATCACCAGTGCA